CAGCGATGACAGTTTAATGTTGAACGTGTCTGAGAGCTCATATGAGGCTGAAGGATCGGTTTATGTTGTATCTGTTAGAAGTTTAGGAATTAGGTGCGTCAATATGGGCGATAATACGGTCATGTAGCCAGTGGTGGAATGGGACTAAAAATCATCCCGGGACTCTCGACCGGCCCACTTCGGTACCGCTAGTAAGTTGTCATCGGGGGGAGTGGGGGATGTCAGGGGCGGCGGGTGCTGTAGATAGTACATGTAAATATGTAAATATTTGTGTCACTGCATCCTGGTAAAATACAAATATAATGCAATGTCTGTGTCTTTGACATTAGCGCTGCTAGCCACCTGTGCCCTGTACTACGAAGCCAGTTCAACATACCCTGGATATGTTTGAGTAACAAACAAACTAACAACAACAAACTAACAAACGAGATCTCGCTAAGCGGTCCTACGACGCTGGTTATCAACTCGGTAAATCAAGCCAGGGTTTCTCTCTCCAGCTGAGAGCGCGTTCACGTCTAAGACACGAGTGGATCTGACTTTAATTACATTTGACTCGAGTGTTTCGTCAACATAATGTGTTGCTTAAAATAATACTTCTGCATACAGTATGTGACACTGTAAGTGTTGCACGGCCAGATACGGCTGGAGAAGCTGACTCAGATAAGGAAATATATGATATATTATGATATTATATGATCGATGATCTGATCGATGATGTAATATGAATGATAAGTGCGACACGTCGGCGTCTTCTCTGCATACGGCAGTTTAAACTGTATTTCCTTTATCCTGTAATATGACTTGAGAGATTTAAACTCCGCACACTGAGTTGATCTCTTTTCTATAGACGCCGGAGGCGGGCAGCGTCAGGTAAAACAAGTTATGTAGCCTTCCCAAACCTGAGCCTCACGCGCCGCCTATGGGGGATGTGCTAGTGACTTATCCGACCGGCCCACTTCGGTACCGGCCCATCGGGATTCGTCCCGATGGCCAGTCCGCGACTGCACCCAGCCCACGTAAACTGTCAACGGGGGGAGCCTCGCTGCGGGGAAACGGTGGACCTAGTGTCCCGATCGGAGTGGGAATAATAATAATCCGTGCATTTCATCCATTAATTTCCCCAACATTGTGGTGAAAAAACCAGACGTTTAATCCATGTTGGTGTACTACAACTACGAAAAGCATCGGTTTGTTTTCTCATCAGGAAATGCAGACCGGCACAAACAAACGATTTTTAATAATCATCCTCACGATCATTTAATGTATCATATGTTCGCCGAATTGACATGAAAGCACTAATAAATGTAGTTTCATCCACTTGAGTTTACAACTACAAAAGTAATCGATTTGTTTTTATATCACATCCTACGGGAGGAAATTCAGTAGCTCTCACTACCGATTTTTAATCCTAATGTAATCCTCATCTTCACCACGATAGTTTATGTTTATGTTCACCGAATTGACATGAAAGCACTGACAAATATGAATATACTGTAGTCAACTTCATTAAAACGTTATTAACGTGCCTAAACTCAGTAATTCACCATTTCTACGCATGACAACACACTTTGTCCGTGTTTGGCTCTCTCGCCGCACAGTGAAGCGTTCCCGCATTGACGTCACTTCCGGCTTGCCCCAAAACTTCAAAATGAGTCGAAGGAATTTCCCGCGATGTTCGAAATTATTGATATTTAACGGAACGGTATCGCTTTTTCTTTTTTAAACTGACGGTTCGAGATGACTAGTAGCCCAATATTTCATTGCACAACAGTTGTTGGGATGCTGTCACAGGCTCTTTAAGTAAGGAAGATATAGAAAGAGAGGGGAGAACATGCAAAGAGAAGCGTTGGGAAGAAAAGGAGGAGGATGAAGAGGAAGTGGAGGATGAAGAGGAAGATGAAGAGGAGAAGGAGGAAGAGGAGAGAGAAAAACAATAGAGAGAAGGAGCGCGAGAGAAGGGAGGAAAAGGAGGCGGTTCGTTCAAGGTGAGGAGGATCATCAATCAGTGTGGGAGCAGAGACTGATCGTGTTGCTGTATCGATCGTGTGTGTGTGTGTGTGTGTGTGTGTGTGTGTGTGTGTGTGTGGTGTGTGTGTGTGTGTGTGTGTGTGCGTGTGTGTGTGTGCTACAATGTGAAACACGTTTTCCAATCATGCTCTAAATCCCCAAATGAAAGAACCCTAACCTTAACGAGCTGTTTGAGTTGAGTCTTAAAATCTTTTTTTTCTTGAAAACTTCTAAATATATTTCCTTCCTCCGTGGAGAGAGAAACTTTCCCCGTGTTTCCAAAGCAACTGAACATTTCTTTCACTAAGTTGCTCGACTCCAGTGATGTTTAACTTGATCTCGGGGCACATATTGCTTATTACTCAGAGAAGAGACAGAAATATAAAGGTTTAAATAACCAACGTTAAACATAGATATTGCATGTCTACATCCTTCAAAAAGCACATCAATTCAATGCCTCTCTTGAAAACAGAGCAATATTTGGCAAAAATTGGACGATAGCATTTTGGGAGGGGTGCACTCATTTACTACCTTGCTAGATGACTTTGTCGTAATGTTTTTGGACTCAAGCTGAAGCCAGGAACACATCCATCCATCCATCCATCCATCCATCCATCCATCCATCCATCTATCCATCCATCCATCCATCCATCCATCCATCTATCCATCCATCCATCCATCCATCCATCCATCCATCTATCCATCCATCTATCCATCCATCCATCTATCCATCCATCCATCCATCCATCTATCCAATCCATCCATCCATCTATCCATCCATCCATCTATCCATCCATCCATCCATCCATCTATCATCCATCCATCTATCTATCCATCTATCTATCTATCCATCCATCCATCCATCCATCCATCCATCCATCCATCCATCCATCCATCCATCCATCCATCCATCCATCTATCCATCCATCCATCCATCCATCCATCCATCCATCCATCCATCCATCCATCCATCCATCCATCCATCCATCCATCTATCCATCCATCCATCCATCCATCCGTCCATCCATCTATCCATCTATCATCCATCCATCCATCCATCTATCCATCCATCCATCCATCCATCCGTCCATCCATCCATCCACCTATCTATCCATCATCCATCCATCCACCTATCTATCCATCCATCCATCCACCTATCTATCCATCTATCTCTCTCTCTCTCTATCCATCCATCCATCCATCCATCCATCCATCCATCTATCTCTCTCTCTCTCTCTCTATCTATCCATCCATCCATCTATCTCTCTCTCTCTATCTATCCATCTATCTATCCATCTCTCTCTCTCTCTCTCTATCCATCTCTCTATCCATCTATCTATCGATTTAGTTATTTGTTGTATATAAGTTAAAAGTGTTTGGCTCCATGTTGGTGCTATAAACTCTCAATTGGTAATTCAAACATAGGTTTTCTTATGACCCTAAAGATTAAATGTATCCGGTCATTGCACTCTTAATTTCTTCAGAAATATAGAAGGACAAACGTTATTTCTATATACTTTAAACTGGAGTTAAAGTAATCATTCAAAGCTTTGTTGCAGCTCTGATTCCCACTGAGCAGACAGATGTGATGAGTTTATTTAGCAATTACCACAAAGTCAAGAAAGACTTTTTAATATCACCACCACATGTCTTTCTTGCCACTAAATCTGCCTACACACCATAATGATGAATTAATTCAAATAATGTTTATCCTGACAGATTAGTCAGTGGAGTAAAAAATAATTGAAGAAAAATATTCCATGGCATGCTTACAGTATTTACTGTTTGAGTCGTTTCTACCATCGCGGCTAACTTTAAATCCTCTCTGTTCACGTCTACCTTTCAGTTTCCTGCTCCTCTGCTCAGGGCTCAGACAGGACATGTTGTTTACAGTAAAGCAATGACCTGGATCAAACTGGGTTCAACCATAATCTGCTGCACACACTAATATCTGTCACTTTTACTAAATGAGATTAAGTGAAGCAGAAACGCTCTCAAACAGGTAGAAGTGAAATTCAGCAGTTACTATGAGCCGCTGCTATTGAGTTGTTCCTCACGCGACGCAAAAGCTGATGAATTATCCATCAATTTAGATTAATGTCACATTTTAACACGGCACACTGTTGACCCATTACTGTTGCTCATAATATCATGATTTATCTCGAATTACAACATTTACCTCGCCTTCATCATCAGCTTTTAGGCTCAACAGATGGATGGATGGTTAGATATCTCGGTATTAAAACGTTCCCATTGTGTTTGTAAGGGAAACTTCTGCAGCAATGGAGAGTCAGGACTCCGAGAGACACGAGGAGAGTTGGAGCTTTGATGTCAAACAATTATGTTTATTACAAGTCAACGGCCGGAGAATTCATATCACAAGTCACAGCAGCAAAAGGTTCTGACTGCACGGGTGGGTTGCCATGTCAATTCTGCCCAGTATCTCTCTCGATAGACCATTTAACATATTTTTGGTGACCTTAAAATGTATTTTCAAGCGTTGCACTTGCCAAGATACCATCAGGAAACACTCTAAACTCAAGGCTTTAAAATGGTTGTTCACGAACCAAGAAGTGAGGTTTCAGCGACTACATCCATCCTAAGTATCCTAGAACAGCGCTTTATTCCCATTGTGTGTCGATTTTTTGACAGGATTACTTAAATTGACTTGGAAGAGCTGCTACCTTTAAGGCAAAAATCAGGGAACAGATGTTTTGCACAAAAAGCATTGCACGACTGTAACTTGTTTGCCTGCATGTCTCCCTGCAAGAAGCGCATTGATACACATATGTGGATATTTGTATGAAGGTTCATGATAAATCCCCATGCCCTTGAGATGGATTAACATCACAACGCTTCTTGTTTTAGGCAAAAATGAATGCCACAAAAATAATCTGTGACAAGGCACAATGCGCCACAATCAGGACAGGAAAGTATCATTAAAATAACACCACAATAAAATGATGAATGAGTGTCAGTGGAAGTTTACCTACCTGAATAACTCCTGTGTCACTGCCTCCACGGCGGCTTCAGATGGAGACAGAACAACAAAGATTAATGTTTTAACTTCAACAATCTGCAGCCAACCAATACTTATTAACACATCTACTTTATGTGGGCATTACACTAAGATATTATTATGTTTAGGCTCATAGGCTATAGCATAAGATTAGGAAGTGGAACTAACCTTTTTACACACATTTCCGATTAAGAGTATTTAGGATCTATCAAAAGTATTTTGTATATCCAATGTTTTCAAGAAGAGTTAAGAATGTATCAATATTACTTTTAAAGCTACCGAATGAACAAAGAATAGGTTGTTCTTAACACTCGTAGAAACAACAGGTTAACTATAGGCTGGTGTAAAAGCTAGCTTCATACACTTTTTGCTTGGGTTCACAATATATATTGTACAACTGATATTTCAGCAAAAACACGCTCATTTGCAGAGAATGGAGCCAACTTTATACACATTTCTTGCAAATTCCCTAATTTAGAAAAGCACATTTCAACCATAAACTTAGGTTTACACGTATACTTCTTATTTGTGCAGGATTCTTTCACACACAGTGACGTCACGAGCTACCCACAATGCAACACGCGCCATATAAATATATATAAATGCGCCATTTTCCTGGAGGTGCTAATATCCTGGAAGTGCTAATATAAACAGCTAGCTAACGTAGCCAGGCAGAGCGCAGTAGGTTTTTTTTCTGAATTAACGACCGAAGAAATCGCTGCATGTCTTCGGATTACATCTCTGGACTTGAGGGTGTGCTCTAGGTCGTTACCAGCGTAAACTAGAGCTGTGTGGGTTGTTACAGACTGCCTGCAGATGTATGGAAAAACGACAGTGGCCTTCGTCGATTTTGGCAGCATCTACGTCTATCTTCTGGAAACACCAGGTGAATACCCCACTTGTCACAATAATATTATCATGCCATTGCATATATGTGGTATTTTAGAGATATTGATTAAGGCAATAGACTATGATATTCAGTACAGGAAGCTTAGCAACACCTAGACGGTGTACGGCTGCTTGCACCTCGCGTAAAACGGCGCAGACCGGAAGTACGGTGTCGGGCTCGGCCCAATACCCGTATGTGTGTGTGAAAGAATAGTAGCCAAAAAAGCAACACAATCCTTTTGAGAATTTGTGGCTAAGTACTAAATGTTATTTGGAAAGGAAAAAGCATTTAGCCAATATGAGTAAAGTTAACATGAGGAAAATAGCTGGTTGAGTAGCTGCTAACATATTAGCTGCTACTAGCTAGCCAGACCGCTTTCATCCATGTGCATTAAGATTTTAGAACGAAGCTTTGAAAAGAAATCAGACAAACATGGTTATACCTCTGACTCCTTTGGATCGTGTGCGATGGCGTTTTTTAACCGCATTCACCTCCATCTGAAGAGAAAACACAAGTCGATACAAATCAAGTTGGGGTTTTTCTTTGTATCACATAATTGAGTTCAATTACTGCCAAGAAATAGAAGCCTCGAGCTCAGCTGGTTTTGAGTGCACTTTACCTGGTCAGAGCTCGGTGTGGCACTGGTTCTTTATCGGAAGAGTTTTTATAGCAAACTGAATTTCAGAAGCCGTCTTCCAGACTCATGATCTGCAAAATAAAGCACAGAAATGTTTTCAGATTTACGTTGCAAGAACTGTGGGCTGTTTTGAACACTTAAAGGTGGGGTAGGTAAGTTTCAGAAACCGGCTCGAGTGCACGAACATTTGAAAGTACACAGCCGAAAAGAATCCGCCCCTCCCTTCAGACTTCCTTACAGAGCCCCTCCTCCAACACACACGAATGCGCACATGACGTCAGCAGACTGGTGAAAGTGGCCGCCTGCTGCTGCAATGCAAGCCCAATGACGGCACGAGATACATTTGTGCGTGCACGAGATGGAAGGCTGACAGAAAGGACGGCAATCCAATCCGTTTAGCCGGGCCGGCTAACCGGAAAAAATCTGCCCCTCCCTTCAGACTTCCTCACAGAGCCCCTCCTCCAACACACACGAACGCGCACATGACCAATGAGGGCACGAGATGAGTTTGTGCCCAGATGGAAGGCTGACAGGCAGGTAGGCCATCCAGTTACTTTAGCCGGCTCAGATGATTGGTCGTGCTTTTTACAGAGCCACGGCTTCCACAGATGATGTTTTTCTATGTATTTATTGTCAAAGCATTTAATGTATTCATTGCTATCGGGATGTTAAGAGCATTCCATGAAATATAACAAAAAGTGTTTCTGAAATAAATTACATACCCCACCTTTAAGTCTCTATGAAATGTATAAGTATTATATCTTTATGACATTTCAACAATTGAAAGACTCAAATATCAAAACACATTTCCACCGATATTTTAAAAACGTGACATTTTATTCATTCAGGTTTCACAGATTTCAGTAACCTTCAGCATAGCCGTTTATTCACTCAGTCAATTAGGTGTTTCTTTGGAGAGGTTTTATGGACTCGCTGCTGCAAAACATT